ACTAGGGCGGCCGGCCCCGACTTCCCGGTTTCACACAAAGGCCCTTTTCAGGGCCACCCCCATTGCTCACCGGGAGAGCTGCGATCCGCGGGGAGGGGGGAGGGGAGCGCGTCTGTCCAGCCCCGGTGCTGGGGGCGGTGCCGGACCCGCGGGCCCGGAGCGCTGGCGACACGGAGCTGGAGTCCGGTCGGAAAGGCCGTCAACAGAAAAGCTGCTCCGTAAAGACTTATACTTAATCTGGGTGCTTTTAATTCATCTGTATTTATCGTCTGTTACATTCGGTGGGTGTTGCATAGAGAATAAACGATGCTTCATTTCCAAAACGGGACCGCAGTGAGGGGCCGTTTCAGTGTTTCCACAAGGCACTGTAGCACATAAGCCCCACGGAGAGAATGGCGACCAGGCAGTAAGTGAGGATTCATGGTAAGGGGCTAACAGTTACAGAGAAAGGCACAATAGCACAATTTTGGGCTGCCTCTTCAGTTCCCCATTGACAGGTTTGTGCAGATGAACGACTGATTAGTTTGCCTTGTATGCTTGTCTACACGGGTAGACTGGCTACCCACTTAATACTGGCTGATGACAAATTTGCATCCAATAACTGCAAACTTAGTGAACTCCTTACCTTAAATAAGTTCTATGAAGAACACAGCATCTCTGCTACCTCACTAAGAGGAATCCTGTATTTGGAACCTAATAGCATTTTCAGCATGCTGGTAAGTAAACAGGCCCAAATAAGCTATTAATGGCAACTGAAAGTCCCGTCAGCACATTATAGCGCTTTAGTACTGTCATGGTTGAGTCTCTGATTATAGTCTGTAATGACTGCCTTGCTCCTAAATGGAATAGGAGAACCTACAGATTTTTTTTTTCTTCCTAGCTACAGAAATTGAACAAACTTCACAGAGACTACAATTTAGTGAAATGCAGAGGGAAGACAACCCTGAACAGCATAAAGCACCCAGGTTAGTTACCTTAATATTTCAAGTTTTTGTGCCCAAATGCCATATAAGCCTGGTGTGAACATTTAAATAAATCCCTTCCTTCAAAGGAAGATGATAGTGCAGCTGCAAATACTTGCTAGACTTGTAGCAATCATGCTGACCACGCCCCCACAGGTTTAGCGGGCATCATTCAGCTGCCTTGCCACACTAAGGATATGCTTAGCTCCCTTGCTCAGAAGTAAACTAGCTAGTTCCACACCAAGACCCTCTGCAGCTTCCTGGGCCTGACGGGGGACATTCTTGGCTGTGATGCCAACGTGCTGCGCATCATCATTTGGTCCATCTTCACTCTGGAATACAAACACCTCAACGTAAGGCAGCAGGAAGAAGTGGGCAATTAATAGATTAAGCCACATGTGAAATGGGGTGAAATCTATGGTGTGAGGAGCCTTCAGAGCTGTGCTGCTGCAGTTTTCAAGGTACCAGACCAAAAATAATAGATTTCAAAAGGTCTGGTTTTGTCATTCAGATTTAGATTTGAACCCACTGTGGTTCACATACCTGTAGGGGGTAATTAACACTGGTCTGCATGGTCTCCTTCAGGCTATCAGATCCATCCAAACTGTAGACTGCACCTGTCAAATACAACTTGGAAAGACATATGAGAGGGATCAATACCACATTAATGAACAACCAGAAAGCCAACTACCCCCTTATAAAAAAAACCCCAAACACCCAATGTACAAAGCTAAGCCTGCAAGGGAAGGCTTTTGTAGTGCAGGGAGATCAGCAAGAATAGCAGTATGATACAAGTATGAGACAAGTAATCCCTATTAAGGGAAATGCAAATTCTCAAGGAAAAAAAACGGACTTTTTTTCTAGCTTCCTGCTTCCTTAATCACACTCAGTTTTGTACAGACATTTTTTGGGGTCAGAAGCGAGGTTTTCACATGTTGGGGCAACACTACCTTTAACAAAGGGGTGGGGAGGGGGGAAAGGCATTTTCTAGAAGACAGAGCTTTAGTAGCCAAATCCATTCTAATACTCCTGCTTTGGGCACAGAGCTGGGAGGCTCCAGTCAGAAGCCTACCTACTCTAATTGGCTATAAAGATAACTGGAGTTACATTCAGGGAAGGATCAGGGAACACAAAAAAGCCTCAGAATAGGTTTGCAGAAATAATCACAGTACTCCTCACCTGGCCATCTTTCAGCACGCTGTTTACAGCAACAGGGACGCTGCATCCACCCTCCTAAAATAGAAAACAGGGTCTACCTGACACATTCAAAGCAGACGCCCCTCTGAAAAGCTTAGGCTGCATACAACCCCACCTAGTGCTCTTCAGGTCCTTCATGATTCAGAACTAATCTCTACTTCCCAGTTTTAGGAAAGCATAGCAGATTTCCCACACTGTGGCATCGGGTCAATCATCAGTAGTATTGACTACTGGAGGCAGAAGAACAAGGACATCACACCTACCAAACGTTTCATAAAGGCCCTCTCAGCAATGCAGCAGAGCACAGTGTCTGCATCATGCAGGGCAGATACCATATTCAGTATCTCTTGATCTTTGGCACGAACTTCCACTGCTAAGGCACCCTATGAGAAGAAACACACAATATCATCATAATTGTTATTAATAATTAATAATAATAATTCCTTTAGTTCCTGCATCTTTGCGTGCACTGAGCACTGATCATGAAACAGAACTCAGAAGCTTGGATGCATTTCAACAGGGGAGTGATGGGTAGACCTTCACAGAAATTAATTGCAAAACAATCCACCAGTTACAGAGACATCCTAGAGCAGCTGCTGTAAAGGAAATACAGAACTTATGCCAGCCAGTTGTTCAAGATCATGCTCTCACCTCAAGCCATTCTAGAACCTCTCTGTTATGACTGCATTTATAGAAACACACACTCCAATGTCCTTTTGTGATGAGAAGACTGGATAAATCCAAGCTTCCTAAACTTTTCTCACTATACAGTGCTGAATAAGTAATAATGTCAAAGCTATTATTTCCTAAACTGGAAACAGGGTAAGGGAGGGGAAGAACTGCACAGTGCTTGACAAACACACACATAATCAAAATCACTATTCAAACTGAATTTGCAGATTCATCACTTGCAATCAGGAATGCATAGCCAGCTCAGGTTTAGTGAGTTTGACATCCACTGTACAACACTGTGTAAATTCACCCACCCGGCCAGCGTGGGCTGGAACAGTTTGCCTGTCTAGAAACAAGATCACCAAGAACGTGCTCCAAGGTGGGTGCTTCAGTTAGGACGCCAGGCATAATGGAGAATAAAGGAGCATCAAAGATACTGCAGTGACTCTGCACCATTATCCCAGTACAGCACAGCACCGACTCTGCCCTTTATCTGCCACATTGCCCCAGCATGCTTGTGCCACACAGTCCTTTTACCATTGACTGTTTTCCCCCTAGTGACAGAAATCAGCCCCATCACACCGGTAAGAGCTGACTGCCATTCTTCCCACATGCTGTGCCTAAAACAGTGTAAGAGACAACAAAGGGGATCAATGTCATAGTTCTTTGGCAATCAACACATGAGAAGTACTCAGCACAATTAACTACTCTGATGCATCTGCTGCCAGCTTTCCATCACAGTACTGTTGACTACACGAAAGTTGAAATGTACCTGTCCAACAGCATAGAGACAGTCTTCAGGGGTTAAGAGCTGGAAGAAAACAAAATCAGAATTAACTCAAGTTGCACTGTTCAGCATATAGAAAGCATGAGCCAAATTCTATGCTGACTTCTAACATTAATTAATTTTGTGCCTGAACAAGATAGGACAAGAGGCAGTTGTTTTAAACCACAGGGTTTAAAAATAGCATGGGGGTTGGAACTAGATGATCTTCAAGGTCCCTCCTTCCAACCCAAACCATTCTATGATTCCCTGCATGTGCAGGGACACATCCCACTAGACCAGGTGACCGAGTTGCTCAAAGCCCCATCCAAGTTGGCCTTGAACACTTGCATCCATCACCTCGCAAGCTGTTCTAGTGTCTCACCACCCCCACAGTAAAGAATTTCCTCCTAGTGTCTAACGTACATCTATCCTCCCCCAGTTTAAAACCATTGCCCCTCGTCCTCTCAATACACACTCTTGTAAAAAGTCCCTCCCCATTTTTCCTGAAGGCCTGCTTCAGGTACTGGAATGAGTTCCCCACGTAGCCTTCTTTTCTCCAGGTTGAACAGCCCAAATTCTCTCAGCCTGTCTTCATAGAAGAGGTGCTCCAGCCCTCAGATCATCTTCATGGCCCTCCTCGGGACTTGCTCAAAGAGCTCTGTGTTGGGGGCTCCAGAACTAGATACAAAACTCCAAGTGGAGTCTCACGAATACAGAGAGAAGGGGCAGAATCACCTCCCTTGACCTGCTGGCCACACTTATTTTGTTGCAGCACAGGATACAATTGGTTTTATGGGCTGCAAGTGCATACTGCCAGCTTTTCATTGACCAACACCTCCAAGATCTTTATCCTCAAGGCTGTTCTCAATCCATTCTCTGCCCAACCTGTATTTCTGCCTGGGGTTGCCCCAACCCAGACAGGACTTTGCACTTGGCCTTGTCGAACTTCATGAGGTTGGCATGGGCCCACCTCTCAAGCCTGTCAAGGTGCCTCTGGATGGCATCCGTTCCCTCCAGCGTGTCAACCATACCACATAGCTTGGCATTGTCAGCAAATCTGGAAGGATATTGCAACTAGAGGATCTTTAAGGTCCCTTTCAACCCTAACTATTCTATGCTTCTATGACCAAAGAAATAATCATCTCCCCTTTCCCATGCCTCAGTATTTTCACCCCTAAAGTGAAATAATGTATTTTCCTTCCTCCTGGACTGTAACACTTTGTGAATTAGCTGATCAGAAAAATCCTAGTCATGCACACCACCGTATTGCTAGACAAGTAATGTGCAATGCTGGGAGACATTCAGATTACAAACTGCTATTGCACCCTAGAAAACCAAGCAATATAGATTTCTGTATGAAGAAAATAGAACCAAACAAACAACAACAAACCGCCCCCCAAAGCACATGGAATCACGAGCTGACATGGCAATTAATTCAGCAGACTGGATGCTCATCTTTGAGAGGACCAGCACCAAGTGTTAAAGGCAAACACCAATGGTTTGGCTGAACACTGTATTTTATGTTTTGCTGTTCCCCACCTGACCAATGCGATTCTCCCAGCCCATTCTCTTCAGCCCAGCAGCAGCCAGGATGATGGCACTGAAGTCTTCTTTCTCATCTAGCTTCTTTAAGCGGGTATTTAAATTCCCTCTCTGCAGAAGTGGTTAAGCAAGCATACAAACAGTAGGCAAACAGTCCTATAACCACTTAACATTCACTTGTGTGTGTTTACAGAACGTACAGAATCCAACAACCCCCATATGGGAATCAGAGTACCATCCTGAAAGAAGTGTCTGGACAATTGTTTATTTAAATAGAAATGTACTGAGTATGATGGAGTATCAATTCAAGCACTGTTTCGATTCTAGGTTTTGCAGTAAGTTACCTTGTCCTGTTTGCAGCTTTAACCAGCTCCCATGTTTGCCAGGAAAGGATACAATATCCCTGAATTCTAACTGAGGGAACTTCTTTTTCAGCTGGGCTGCTCTCCGAAGTGAACTGGTTCCGATCACACTGTGGGGAAATCAAAATCAATGAAACACAGAATACTCCCACACTTACCTCCAGCCAGAGACATGTCAGAGCATCCAAGGAAACAAATAACTTTTTTTTTTTTTTTTTTTTTAATTTAAATGAAGATCCAAGAACCTGTCAATTATTTATATCCTCTCAGAAGAAACAAAACCACTCTGTGAGTGGAATTCATCAATGATAGAAAGGCAGTGGGAAGAGAACCTCTGGACACAGTAGGGCACATAACAAAATCACAGAAAACATCCAGTCTGGGCATCAAGCATTTCCTTTCTATGGATGGATGTTACTATTTTTTTCTTGGTACCCTGGAACCTAATCCAGACATGATTTTCCCACTATCCAGAAGTCAGAGTCTAACTAGCTGTGATAAAAACATAATTTATTTTATTTTAACATAGAAAAAAAGAGTCTATAAAAGTTACTTTGATTAATTTCACAGACATGTCTCAGACCAAAGACTCCAAGAACTTCTATGAAAAGGCAGGGAACCCTAGTCAGGTAATTCAAAATGGAGAAACCATTCATGCTCTCAGCAGAACCAAGAGCAATGTCAAAGGAATCCTAAAAGAAATCAGAACTGGCTGAGTGAGAACGTAAGTACAGCTCAGGACCATGCAAGCTAAAATACTACAAAGCCCCTCCTTTTGCATTGTAAACATTCCCGTGCAGTAAGCACACTGCAAAGGAGCAAGAATTCACTCTGGAGACTTTGATAAGAAAGGGTCTAACTCGAGCAAATATTTCATCACAGACATGGCTCGAGAGATTCAGCCTCACTGGGGGTACAGCACTGCTCTCTCCAGCCAGCTGCTTCACTGTAAGGTCCAGGCACAGCCAACAGAAGGGCCTGTAAAACCACGGCAGGATAAAGCAAGGAGCTCATTCACTTGGTGCTGGGTAATATCAACCAACTTCTCCCTTCCATTTCTATACCTGACTGTCTTCCCCTTCCGTTCCCCACTTACCTCTTTTCAGGAAGAAGGCTCAGTGTTTTCCCACAGTTTTTGGGATGAAAGACAACAGCATCAAGTGGGTTTTCCCTTCTGCAAAGTAACACACAAACAGAATGGCTGACACATCACGTAACAAAAGGCTGCTAACTTAAGAGTTCTCTGTTGGTCCCCAGAGGAACTGACTCTGTCTCCAAAATACCCCAACAACATTCTAAAAGCAAGAATTGTCACCAAACTTGCTGGCTACTAAACACTAGGACAACCCTAATGTTGTCAGTGTTTCAGAGCTTCATCAGAGGGTGGTCAAACTATGAATAACTAGAGGGACCTGAGCTGCCTTTGCTTTCCTACCATTACCAACACTGTAAAATGCAAGTCCCTTGGAGAATCAAGCCTCACATCCACGCTTACTTGCAGACAGCACCGATGGTAAAGCCAGGAGGAAGAGAAGTTGGCAGATCCTTCAAGGAGTGAACCACGAGATCAACTCTAGAGATTAGAGGACAGTAATCAGTGAACTGATGGTTGAGCTCATGTGGCACCTACCAGAGACGCTACCTTCCTCCCAGCAGCGCTGCAAGACACATTACTACAATCAAGGTTAAATGAGGGGAAGATGCTGGAGATGTTCAGATGGAGAAACTCAAACCAGCATGCAACCAGTACATTGCCTGGTAGCACACAATCTGAAAATAACAGCTAGTCAAAGTAAATCTGCTTTGTTATAAGGACTATAAACATTGTAAATGCTTGACTCTCTAGTATTTTTCCACTGACTTTACTTGAAAATGCACTGTCACATCTCCGCATGTCAGATACAGAAGAGTGTATTAGTTTCTAAACCTACTCAACTAAGACATAAGCATCACTGCAACCCTCCTCATCAGAAAAAGAGAAAAAGAAGAAAATACACTAATACATCTCTGCTCCAACAGAAGCCTGAACTAAGTTTTTCTGTGGTAAGAAGTGTCCTGGTTTGAACCAGGATGAAATTACCCAGAAAGCAGAACAACTTTGCTATGCCCAATTCTCCTGCACATTTAGAGTGCAAATATGCGTATAAATGTTAACATGATAACACTAAATACATTATGCAACATGTTAACACCATCCAAAGTACTTTAAAAAAAAAAAAATACTTGTAAGAGGGAATTAGATTAGATTACATGCTCTCTCATACACACATAACACACAAATCACAGAAAAAAAAACGTAACTGGGGCAGACCAAGCGACACAACTGCACTTCAAAGCCCAGGGTAGAGAGGGATTAAGAAAAACCAACGAGACAATGATTTATCAAAGGATTTCTTAGCCAGAGAGGTACCAAAGAGAAGCAAAGTAGATCACATACACAGATGTCATAAAAGCACCACAAATGCCAGAGGAGGAAAAGAATGAGCTCTTACTCATTTCTTTCAAGTGCATTTTCTAGCTCTTTGGTGAAGAGGCTCTTCTCCCCAATCTATACATAAAACAGAGGAACGTGAATCACAAAAGAGAAATCTGCAAACCTATAATCAAATACAATTACTTCTATTTTAGAGGAAGAAGAGAACCTTTACCTTGGAAAGTGCTGTATCCAAGATCTTGTCTCCAGTGGTTGACATAGCAACTGCTCAGAAAGACAGCACAGATAAAACATAAGGCTGGTCAGAACAGGCTGGGCCCACATAACAAGCAGTACAGCATCATGTGGCACTGCGTGAACGCAGACGCAAGACGAATCTAAGAGCAATTCATTTCTAGAAATACACTGCACTCAAAACAAGTGAAATTGAGACTTCTTTCACAGTAGTCAAAAACAGAGCAAGGAGAACCAAGACAGGTTTTGGGAAGGGTCAACTGAAGGGAAATTGCCAGGATCTTTCTCTGGAGTGCCAGTAAACAGGAACTCAGCAGGTCTCTTCAGTGCAAGGCTGGGCTGCTATTACTCCTGTGCTGTTAAACACCTCAAGCCCTGGATAAGAAAATGTCCCTAATGTACAGTGGGGCATGGCCAGAGCAACACAAAGTTCTCAAATGAAGGCGATGTAATACCATCAGCATGGCACACTCAGAGTTTCATTCATCAGGAGCTTACAAATTCCACCTTTCTCCCCTTGAAGAAACGCTCAGCCACACAACCTAACTGAATTCAACTGGCACTCACTGATAAGTGGCTCCTGGTGACAGCACTCTACACACACCTCTTGCACACAAAGATAAGCAGCTGGCTCCTGCTGCTGCCTACCCCAGGGCAACAGCCAAAACAACTCACCAATCTCGAAACTGAAGTCAGGGTATAGCTCACGGAGCATCTCAACTACGCTGTCAGTCTGAATTCGGGCCAGCTGCAACAAAGCAGAAAGCAAAGCCCAATACAAAGAGCACATCATCCATACAGTAGCTAGAGAGGATTTTGCCATTCTTCAGTGGTCAGGCATGCGTGACCTCTGCATTCTCTACATTGAAAACATTAGAATTAAGTAGCCTCAAGTAAAATCACTCATATGTTCAAAATTCTTTGAACCACGTGAACTCATACCATGACCACAGAATTCCAAAGAACTTATTTTGTCCCCTAAAGTGGCAGAATAACACCCAGTGCTGTTATGAGCAACTACAGCAGAAAACTGTGCATAAGGATTCACACACCCTACTCCCATACGCTCCCAGTCAGAAATTTAACTTCTCATTACCACCTCTGAGCTGTTATTCATAGACAGCATTTACCCTCCCAACTTGGAGCTGCTTGGTTTCACCTCTGCAGATTGCAGTTACTGAAAGATGCCCGCTCATCAGCAAGCAAGCAGAAAGGTAAGCAAAATAATCCTCCTCCTGCTCAGAAAAAAAACAAACAAGTCATATTGCATGCCAACTACCCTCTGCTTTTTCTAATATTAATTTTACCAATACTGCAAGTTTGAGGAGAAGCCAGTTGGATTTCACTGTGCTACAGGGAAGTCTATATTTACCATCAAATATGATGCTCTCTTCAAGATCAGAGCTCTATTTAAAGGTTCTACAGACAAAAATAAAAGTAAGAGCTTAGGTCTACATGCACAGCAAGCAACAGATCCTAAAGAAGTGAACAAAAAAACATTCCCTTGCATCCAGAACAACTGAAGAAAAAAAAATAAAAAGAGTCATGCTAACTTGATCATTTCACACACACATGCAGCAGACTCAAGCAACTGCAAGTAATTTTCTGCTCTTCTCCCACTGATAAGACATGCAGCCTGGGACAATTAACTTTGCTCTCAGAACTGGAGCTTCCCCAGTTATAAAACAAGTCCAAGTAGCCTCAGGTTAGAAAATGAGGCAGTATGCACACAGGGCTGTTCCCTGCCGTGATACCTGTATGTAACAACTTCTTGACAGTTCAGAATCCTTCCTAGAACATACCACCAGAATGAACGTGATTATCTCTAAACAAAGCCATGAAGGACATTTATCTCCCTTTGCCTCCTTGCTGCAAGCAGCTGGCAAGAGATAGGCACTCTATCTCTGGACACGTCCCTTCCCTGTCCTCAGTGTGGACTGAAGCCATGAGTCGTTGGGGGTTTTTTTGTTGGTTTTGGTTTTTTTTTCTTTCTTTCTTTCTTTCTTTCTTTCTTTTTCCAGCCGCCCTAGAATTGCTGCAAAACTCATTCAAGTTAACAAGTCCACAGCAAGACCCCTTTTATGCCAGGACACTCGCACCCTAACCTTCGTTAACTCGACCCGGCAGTGCTACTCAAACCTGACCATCACTTGGCTTCCGAGGAAGCGTTTTCAACACTTGTTCCCGGAACCCCAGAAAGCAACCGACCGCGGGAAGCTCAGCGCCCCTC